ACCTTCACGCCGGGTGGCCGTCGACGTAGACGTTGCGAGAAGCAGCAGAAGGTGCTGGAACTTCCGCCGGGGTACGCGATGCAGCCGGATGTCGTGCCCTGCTGGGACGCGGTGCCTCCGATCACGCCACCGGCTGCGTTTTTGCCCCCTGGCTATAAGAAAGGCTTCCCAGGTGAGCCGATTTTTGGATCTAGTTGTTGGCAAATGTCCTATTAGGAAATTTCAGTGCTTTGCAGTTGCGGTATATAACGATGGAATTGAGGAACTATGGTTGCTTTAAAAAAATATATCAGTTTGGAGAAAGTCGAAGATTTTCCTGTGGCACATTTTAGGCTTCGATGATAGAGTTGAGAATTAGAGTTTATTACGTATTGACAGATGTATGATATATTTAGGATAATTTGTTAGCATAATTTTAAATTACAATGGCAGAATTGAGAGATGTAGAATATCAGTCGAGAATTTGGTTATGGACATATGTAGGCTCGTGAAAGTATTCGAACATTCGTAGACACTTTTATGAATACATTTCTACGGATCATTTTAAATTAGCATCGTTATGAGACTGGACCATCATAGTTATATCGGTAAAATTTGAAACAAATCTTGCTCTTTCACGGAGTCTTAACGATCCCAAAATCTTGTCCTTATCCTTTTATTTAAAACATCCTACGAATTCATACATTCAATCTAATTCTTAAATAATTACAGTTTTTCACTAATGTCAAAAATTGTATCAAATACAAAAGACGGTAATGCTTGAAAAACACCAAAATTCCATGCTTCGTTCGAACACAACATTACATTCGTACATACCTAAGTTATAAATTATGTAGCAGCATTCTCAGAAATTGTTAACAAACGAACGTTATCGCCAGACAGCATTACGGTGCCTAGCTAACACTCAGCAAACAGTTAATCGTACATCTTACTCGTTGTTTTTCCCATTCGCTCGAATGCCTCTCGTGTTCCTGCAACATTTTTCAGTTTCCTTGAACAATACCATTGACCTTGATCATTTATCTCCATTTAAAACATGGCTGTGGTTTTCGTTGCATGTGTCAACTGCACTTGCATTCCCATATACAACTTGTTCATAGTTCATTACTTATTTACCTCTTGTTCGTCCGAGTTCTTCTTTCTTTTTCTTCCAAATGAAGCTCACGCATAGAACAAAAGGAAGAGAAGAATTGAACAACTAAAAGAAAAAAACAAGAAAAAAAAGAATGGAAATCGAAAAAAGAAGAAAAGTTCAGTTTGCTCCATCAAAGTTCTATAAATGATCGATGGAAGGGAATAAAACGGATCACTTTTGAACCGCAGAGCAAATATTGATATCTCTCGCACGATGTTTTTCATTATTTAACGAGAGAGGAGGTTTATTTATCGGTTCGCGTGCAGTTTTTTTGCTCTACATCTTTCTTCTCGTTTCTTTTTGGCGAATTATAATGAATCGAAAGGATCAAAACAAAACCGACCCTTAAACACATTTGTTTTTTTCCTACTTTTTTATCTTCAAAAAAAAAAAAAAGAAAGGTGAAAAAGTATAGTCTACCGCCTTTAATTTCTGTTCAATAGATTTCAATTTTTTTGACAAAGTATTCATATTACACGAAACTGTCTGTCAGAGTCGTTCATCAAACGAAAATAACGTTGAAAGTAGCTCGATTCTCGCCGAATATCAATTAATTGAAAATGTGATTGCCAGTGGTTTTAAACACCTCACTGTGAAATGGATTTCACCGTTTTTCAAAAGCCACTTGATAATTGCGGTTTAATAATCGCTGGAATTGAAAGCGTTTTGCTGCGAGCCCGCTGTTGGCGTGAAATTGCCAGGTAATCATTTCTATGTTTTAAAATGACCATGTCGAATTAATTTTTGTGTGAATAACGCATGTGAACAGGAAATGGAAAATTTTTACGAAAAGAATTCGATCGTGAATTTGCAAATCCAGTTTTTTTTGTATTTACAACCTTTCGGGTTTCTAAATTTTCGACTTATCAAATTTTTGTATCTGCAAACTTTCAAAATAAAATTTTCAAACTTATGAAGCTTAGAACTCTTACGTGTCCAACTTAAAAAGATTTTTCTTTTTTTTTTATTATTCTTTAAATCTAAATTTTTTAATTTTTATTTTCAAGGATCCTCAATTTTTATAACTATACGTGTATGTTCAAGGAAACATTCAATTCAAATAATTTACGAAATGTAATTTAATTCTCTCCCGTTATTCCGATTTTCTCGTACAAAATAGAGGTGTTAATGTAATTTAACAATTCATCGTATCATGACTCTTCATTGAAACCGATAGGAGTGGATCATTATCGACTAAACAAGGATGATTGAAGTAACTGCGGAAAATTCGAACTCTCGTGAACTTGAACTTCTAATCAACTATCGTTATATAGAATCAACAGCGTCTATATCGTCGCTTCGTCGCGTCATCGTGTATCTAATCGATTGTTCGGCCATCCAGAAAATTTCCAATCGAATTTCATCACGAAACTGAGAAATACATTCCAAAAACGAATCACAAACATGTCCCGCCCCCTAACCTTTGTCCTTGTTAAATGTTGAGGGTGAACCTTTTGATATGTTCACCTTTGACCTGTGAACCGTACGATTGGTATTTAAAAAACGATCTCTTTTTTTATTGCTGATGTTAGAATTCGATATCCCTTGCCCACCTGAGTGATTTTCACAGTTGTGAATTTTTAGAGCGCAAAACAGGTGGCGATTAAAAAAATGCTTCGGTTTTTTGATATTTGGCTATTGAACGGTTTGGATGTATTTATTTATGCATTGCAGTGTAAATTATAATATTTATAAGGCGTCAAAGTGACTGAAATATAATAAGCTTGTAAGAAATGAAATGAAAGAATTTGAATAAAACATTATGGAAGTATCAAGAGAATTATGTTCGAGTAAGAAGTAAATACAAGAGAATTAATATTATGTACATTTTAAAAATGCATTAATGAAGAAGGAGATCGTATTGAATTCTTGTCTGAGCATGGTTGAACAACAAGACCTCCTTTTAAATGAAAAAAAAAAAAAACATTGGGATGAAGTTCTTAAGATATTGAAAGATTGATTAGTATTTTATTATTTAAAACTTGGTCATTATTCTATATTTTAGAATTGGAAAATATATGTGCACAGATACATAAATTAGTAATTTAAAAATATTTCTGTCTACTAATACATTTTAAATGTATTTTATTCTGAAAGTCATATATTTAAGACTTCGCCATTTAGCAATTTAAAGAAAAAAAAAAATGATTTAATTAGTCTGATTCGCATTCTCGAATCTTTTCGGCGTAATGGTCTAAGGAGATTTCAAATAAAAAGAAGAAAGAACGAATTTCTCTCTGGTTCCGTTATCCGAGAATTCTGAGATCGTTCGGAACATTTAACCGGGGCGAAAGGAATCTCGAAAGGATTTTAGTCGTTGGCTGGCTTTAATTTACGGCATCGATTTAAGAAACGACAATTCACCCAGTGTGGTTCTGTTTTAAAGCGGAAGAAAGTGTTCTGAAACTTCGAAGGGTGCGGTTCGTCTTTTTGTCGAAGCTGAATTAATTCGATCGCTCCTCGTGAGAATTGCGCAGCGCAGTCTCATAGCCGCGGCCGGGCAAAAAGTTCCTCGAGATTAAAGAAAGGATCCACGAAGCTTCCTTCGAACTTCTGTAGGGAAACCACCTCCTCTGAACGCGTATAAATTACCGATTATTAAAATCGAGCAGGGTGGTGAATAACAGGGCGTCATTTTCCCCTAAAGTTGTCTCTCAATTCTATTCTTTTCTTATATTCAGATAAATTGAAATTGAAAGCAGTTTGAACTAGTAAAAATATTTTATTATACAGCGTAGCCCAAGCTTTTTCTGTGAAATATAATCGTTTCGTATTTTTGTTATAACCTTTTGATAAATAAATTTTTAACTGAAAATTAACTTTTCGATAAAACATTTGCGAACCTATGTTTATATAACATTTTTGCTTATTTTTATTCATAGAACGTGCTAACTTCATTTTGCGAAACAACATGAGATTTTCGGTTTAGGTACATGCTTTAAAAAGGTAGTTACAAAACAGTCAATTTAAAGGTATAAGGAATTTAAAAAAATCTCGAGGTACAATTGATGATGTATAAAACAGTATCTCACGAGATTATTTTCCATAGTAAAAAAAAGTACCATTTTTTCTTTGACTTAAATTTGAAATTTCGTAACTTTTAGTATCACGAAACTAACCAGGTTTCCTCCATATTCAATTTAAACGATTGACAATACAAAATGCGAAGATCCCAAATGTAAAATAATTATTAATAAATGTAAAATGATAATTTAGAAGCAAAAATGTCTCCAAAATATTATTCAAGAATTCCAAGAAAATACGAATCACGAAGTAACTTGAAGAATCTCGAGAACTTCATAATATTGGCACGAGATCGGAAACAGACAGAAATATTTGAATTTCTTAATTTCTCAGAATTTTAAGTCGCACAATTTTCATCATAAAAATGAACGATCTTATGAGTCTCGTAAAAGCAAAGAAAAATGTTTGCCTAATTTTGGTTCGATGGTAAAATAGCCGAGAAAAATCGGCGCGAGAACGAAGTAGGGTGACGAAGAAGCCTGTTTGGCAGTCGCGACTCGGGTCGAGGTCGAGTTCGAGTTCTTCGAGTTCCTCGCCGGATTTGCGAAGCTTATTAATGCCGGCCGCTCTGTGACAACTGGGTCGAATTTTTCATTGATGAATCACGAGGCGCCGTCCACCGAATTTCGAGACTCGTGCGTCCCAGTTCTCCTTCTCTTAATATTTCTACTGAAATACAACATCTGCAATGCCGATGATAAATTCGCCAACTGTTGTGTCTTCTTCGTATGCGAAAGTCTGGAATTTTTCAGTCAGATTTTTATTTAAAATCGTTTAATGAATAACAACACACGATTCCTGTTTCGATTAAGGTGAAATGGATGTGCTATTTGGTATTTGGTATTTCGGAAAGTGCAGAATGTATGAAAATGTATGAGGTGTGCTTTCCTTCTTTTGAACATTTATCCCGAATTTATTCGTTTTATTAGAGCAGGAATTTTTATTTAGAAGAAACAAGTTAGCAAAGATCTGTCCCTGATATAATGGGACTTTTATATTATACGGTGTATATA